CTGCCTACACGCTGACTGAGCTTTTTTCATTTTGGAGCCTACCTGTGGATCCCTTAAATTATAAAATTGCTCATAATTGGGTTTTAATGTGTCACGTGCCCAGAACTAACATACCACCACTGAAGTTTTCAGGTCTCATTCACATAAGCTGCAGTCTGCAGTAGTGCCTGGATATTTCTGGGCTGATCTTCAGGTTTTCTGTGTGGCTGGGGGATGAGCAGCTTCTGAATCCAAGTATCTAGTTGTTTTGTTCCCCAGAAGCAGGACATTGTCAAAGATAGGCTGCCATATCTGGCTGCAGGCCACGAATCTTTGTGGAAAAGTTACCTTTCCTTAGAAAGAACAGTCAAAGTTAGCTACAGTATTTTGTATTTCCCTTAGAGTTTTCTTTGATTTCAATAGACAGGGTAATCTGTCAGATTTTGTTCGGGGGATTAAAAAGAACCAAAAAGCCCTTTGCTAATGTATGCAAAGTACAGAATTGGTTTCTTCAAGCAGAAGGTATTTAAATCATCATGTTCATCACTAATCTAAAAAAAACTTAATAACCATTTAATACGAGGTCTGCTGGTTACAGTACAGCCATTGGGTGGTCTGGAAGTTTGATGGAACTGCATCGGGGGCTCTTGGGGACTTGATGGAGTCCCCCATTTTGCCCCCCCCCAAACTCCTTTGGAGGTAAATGGTAACAGATACTGTATCTCTTTACTGTTCTTTTTATTATAAAACATAAACAGGCCAAAAATAGCAAAAAAAAAATCATTGTTTAATTATCTGTATATTTCTAGCTATTACCATAATGTCCCACCAAAGAACGACCCAAAATAAATTCTCCTGCTCCCGACGATCACAGCAATGCCACATATGTGTAAGTTATTTGTTGTTGGCACCTGTAGTAGGGCCCAGAAACAATAGTACGCATTTTGCTTTTATATACTACCTAAAACACAGTGACACTGACACTAATGCCTAGTACATACGATGAGGCAATCGGACTAAAAAAAACGCTTTCCAAGTGATCGTCCGATAATCTGATCGTTAGTCCACAGTTTGCGAGAGCTGATCATGACAGTTCATGGAAAATTATCCAAAAGGGACAAGCCGAAAAATGTTCTTGTATGATAACAGAGCGAACGATTTTCATTCAATCAGTCCAGTATACGTCTAAAAAAAATCAAGCGTCCAAGACCGCGCATGCTTGGAAGCGAAAGAATACATTACAATACAATCCAATACATTACATCACTTCTGAAGTTGTATTCTTTTGTACGAGAATTTTCTGAACTTTCGTAACTTTTTTATTTTTGATATGACACTAGCATGCAAAAAAAAAAAAAAAAAATAGATGATCATTTGTCAGATAATCTCTGTGTGTTCGAGGCTTAACTGACACTAATTTAAAAATGATTTTTTTTTTTAAAATCCTACCAAAAATATACTGATCCTTACTTTGACCCTAACACTAATCATGACACTGACCTAGATCAAACCTTGATCTAGCTATTTTTTTTTTTACACGCTTGTTTGTTTACATCTCTCTCTCTCCTACAAGGAGAGGAAGATACAATGTATCTTTCTCTCCATTCAGAAGAGAAAGAAAACAATGGGTGGTCTTCGAAGTGATTGATCACTGTGATAGCCAATCAGAGGCTATCACAGCGATCAAGTGATCGAAGACTGGTAGCCCTGGGTCTCGTTCATTAGGATGAGATCCGGGTCTCTTGGTGAGGGACCCTAACACTAACCATGACACTGACCTAGATCAAACCTTGATCTAGCTATTTTTTTCTTTTTTTTTTTTACATTTTTATGATTTTTTTTTTACATGCTTGTTTGTTTACATTTCTCTCTCTCCTACAAGGAGAGGAAGATACAATGTATCTCTCTCTCCATTCAGAAGAGAAAGAAAACAAAGGGGTGGTCTTCAAAGTGATTGATCACTGTGATAGCCAATCAGAGGCTATCACAGCAATCAAGTGACCGGTGACTGGTAGCCCTCGGTCCCCTTTTTTAGGATGAGATCCAGGCCTCTTGGTGAGGGACCCTAACACTAACCATGACACTGACCGAGATCAAACCTTGATCTAGCTATTTTTTTAGCCAATCAGAGGCTATCACAGTGATCAAGTGATTGATGACTGGTAGCCCTGGGTCCCGTTCATTAGGACGAGATCCAGGCCTCTTGGTGAGGTCCTGGTCTCTGTGCTGGGAGCTCACTGAGTAGCATGCTTCCAACACAAAGAGGGGTATTCATATATGTGGCCTCACGGAAAAAGACCCACATCCGTGAGGCTGCATACTGCATACAGGTGAAACTCAAAAAATTAGAATATCGTGCAAAAGTTCATTTATTTCAGTAATGCAACTTAAAAGGTGAAACTAATATATGAGATAGACTCATTACATGCAAAGCAAGATAGTTCAAGCCGTGATTTGTCATAATTGTGATGATTATGGCTTACAGCTCATGAAAACCCCAAATCCACAATCTCAGAAAATGAGAATATTGTGAAAAGGTGCAATATTCTCGGCTCAAAGTGTCCCACTCTAATCAGCTAATTAAGCCATAACACCTGCCAAGGGTTCCTGAGCCTTTAAATGGTCTCTCAGTCTGGTACAGTAGGAATCACAATCATGGGAAAGACTGCTGACCTGACAGCTGTGCAGAAAACCATCATTGACACCCTCCATAAGGAGGGAAAGCCTCAAAAGGTAATTGCAAAAGAAGTTGGATGTTCCCAAAGTGCTGTATCAAAGCACATTAATAGAAAGTTATGTGGAAGGTAAAAGTGTGGAAGAAAAGGTGCACAAGCAGCAGAGATGACCGCAGCCTGGAGAGGATTGGCAGGAAAAGGCCATTCAAAAGTGTTGGGGACTTTCACAAGGAGTGGACTGAGGCTGGAGTCAGTGCATCAAGAGCCACCACACACAGACGGATCCTGGACATGGGCTTCGAATGTCGTATTCCTCTTGTCAAGCTGCTCCTGAACAACAAACAACGTCAGAAGCATCTTACCTGGGCTAAAGAAAAACAGACTGTTGCTCAGTGGTCCAAAGTCCTCTTTTCTGATGAGAGCAACTTTTGCATCTGATTTGGAAACCAAGGACCGAGAGTATAGAGGAAGAATGGAGAGGCACACACTGCAAGATGCTTGAAGTCCAGTGTGAAGTTTCCACAGTCTGTGTTGATTTGGGGAGCCATGTCATCTGCTGGTGTTGGTCCAATGTGCTTCATTAAGTCCAGGTCAATGCAGCCATCTACCAGGAGATTTTGGAGCACTTCATGCTTCCTTCCGCAGATGAGCTTTATGGGGATGCTGACTTCATTTTTCAGCAGGACTTGGCACCTGCCCACACTGCCAAAAGCATCAAAACCTGGTTCAATGACCGTGGGATTACTGTGTTTGATTGGCCAGCAAACTCGCCGGACCTGAACCCCATAGAGAATCTATGGGGCATTGCCAAGAGAAAGATGAGAGACATGAGACCGAACAATGCAGAAGAGCTGAAGGCCGCTATTGAAGCATCCTGGTCTTCCATAACACCTCAGCAGTGCCACAGGCTGATAGCTTCCATGCCACGCCGCATTGAGGCAGTAATTGCTGCAAAAGGGGCCCAAACCAAGTACTGAGTACATATGCATGCTTATACTTTTCAGAGGTCCGATATTGTTCTGTGTACAATCCTTGTTTTATTGATTGCATGTAATATTCTAATTTTCTGAGATTGTGGATTTGGGGTTTTCATGAGCTGTAAGCCATAAACATCACAATTATGACAAATCACGGCTTGAACTATCTTGCTTTGCATGTAATGAGTCTATCTCATATATTAGTTTCACCTTTTAAGTTGCTGCACTGAAATAAATGAAGTTTTGCACCATATTCTAATTTTTCAAGTTTCACCTGTATGCGCACGGTCGGCATGAAGAGGTTAATGTTGCATATTATACACGAAACTCCTGAACACCAGCCGCACTCATATATGTGACAGCATGCAGGTGGGCTTTAGCTTCACGCTGTCACATATATACACAAAGGCATTGCTTTTTTCTGTTGATTGCTCTGCTGATTGCTGGGGGCACCAATTGCACACTTGGCTCCCCCAGCACTGTGGCTATGCTGTAGGTACAAATCACTGTATACGATCGATCGAGAGCCAGAAGGATAGGCTCTTGGTTACATGATCATATGTTCAGGAAGCCTGGAAGTGAAGTCCCTTTTAAAGGGACAGCAGGAGCTGACAGAAAGGGTAAACCAGCTACATACAGTAAACCTTGCCAGCAGCTGCTGGGACTGTGGCTGACTGTGTGGAAGCAGTGGTCTCTCTGTACCTGTCAACCCACCCCCCACTGAGTCGGATGTATTTCTTTGGCTCTTATCAAAACTCATACTCTCTCTTCAGACCTCTTCAGAGGGAATATTGCTTAGGCTGGCCACACATTATACAATTTTGCCTTAGATTTACAAAAAACCATATATATGAGGTCAAACCTAAATGACACTTTCAATTATATCCAATTAGGCCGGCCCTTGCACTACATAGTTAAAGGAAATTGGGCAGAAATTGGACAGGAAATTGTATAGTGTATGGCCAGCCTAATGCTAGCCATACATTATACAATTTTCTTGAGAATTTTGCTTTAGATTTACCAAAGACCATATAATATGAGGTCAAACCTAACAACACTTTCAATTGTATCCAGTTAGGCAGGCCCTTGTGCTACAGAGTTGAAGGTAAGATTGTATAATGTATGGCCAGTCTTAGTCCCAGGGAGCAAGGGTCCAAATCTGTCCTATGCTGGCAAGGCTTTTCTTAGTAGGCTTTGAATGCTTTAACCACCTCCTACCCGCCATATAGTAATATGACAGACGCAAGGTGGTTCTCTCGTTCTGGGAGGACGTCATATGACGTCCTCCCATTCTCACCACGCATGCGCGGCTCAGGGAGCGTGCAGCGCGGCGATCGGCGGTGCTCTGTGTCCCTCGGACACAGCGGATCACCGATCACGGAAAGAGCTGAAGATGTCGGCTCTCATGTGATCAGCTGTGTCCCATCACAGCTGATCACATGTAAACACGGAAATGCCGGTTATCGGCATTTCTCTCCTCTCGAGCTGTCACACTGACAGCTCGAGAGGAGAGTAGAGCCGGTAATCGGCTTTCCACGGAGGGGAGATGTACACTGATCCTAAGGGCACTGATGATCAGTGTGCCCTGATGATCAGTGTAGCCCCAGCAGTGCCACCTGTCAGTGTCCATCAGTGCCTTGTGTCAGTGCTCATCAGTGCCACATCAATGCCACATATCAGTGCCTACCAGTGCACATCAATGCCACCTATCAGTGCCCATCTGAGCCTTTCAGTGTCAACCATCGGTGCCAGTCAGTGCCACCTATCAATGCCAATCAGTGCCACCTGTCAGTGCCAGTCAGTGCCGCCTATCAATGCATGTCAGTGCCGCCTATCAGTCCCCTAGTCAGTGCCGCCTATCAGTGCCATATATCAGTGCCACCTTTCAGTGCCCATCAGTGATGCCTGTCAATGCCCATCAGTGCCACCTACCAGTGCCTCCTCATTAGTGTCCATCAGTGCCACCTATCAGTGTCCATCACTGCAGCCTCATTAGCGCACATCAATGAAGGAGAAAAATCACTTATTTACAAAATTTTATAACAAAAACTAAGAAAAAACTTTTTTTTTTCAAAATTTTCAGTGGTTTTTGGTTTGTTTAAGAAAAAATAAAAAACCCAGAGGTGATTAAATACCACCAAAATAAAGCTCTATCTGTCACAAAACAATGATAAAAATTTCATATGAGTACAGTGTTGCATGACCGCGCAATTGTCATTCAAAGTGTGACAGCGCTGAAAGCTGGAAATTGGCCTGGACAGGAAGGGGGTATAAGTGCCCAGTAGGCTAGTGGTTAAAAGAAAACCAACTGTGAGACAATGAACACATTGGGGTTTATTTGCTGAAGCTGGCTCACTCAGAATCTCATGCACTTCTGCAGGAAACCAATCAGCTTCCAGGTTTTAGGCTGGCCATACATTATACAATTTCTGTCCAATTTCTGCCCAATTTCCTTTAGATGTACCTTCAACTATGTATTGCAAGGACCTGCCTAATTGGATACCATTGAAAGTGTTTTTTTAGGTTTGACCTCCTATTATATGGTTGTTGGCAGGGGCGGACTGACTATTTGGGAACTCGGGCACTGTCCGAGGGCCCGGGGTCAGTAGGGGGCCCCATGAGATGCCCCTGGTACCCTTCATAGGCTTTTTTGGGTGTGGTTTGAGTGTGGGCGAGGACACAGGGGCCCCATGATCCCCTGTTGCCCAGGGGCCCCTGTGAGTTGTCAGTCCGCCCCTGGTTGTTGGTAAATCTAAAGCAAAATTCTCAAGAAATTTGTATAATGTACGGCCAGCCTTATTGCTAATTGAACAAGCTGAGGTTAGAAGCTGATTGGCTACCATGCACAAGTGCACCAGATTCTGAGTGAACCAGATTTAGTAAATAACCCCTATTTTGTTTTGCTGCACCTTGACTGTAATTAGCTGATTTAAGCTGAAGGGTTAATTGAGCTTTAAACGAATGTATTGGGTCATGTGGGGGGTGTATATAGTGGTTGTTCATGGTCCTTCCATTTTTTTGGAGGGGATTGTCTAAATATGTATTTATCATTGATGAGTTGCAAAGGGAACCTTTGACTGAAAGGAGAGGAGTGGATGATGAGTGGGGACTTCTTGAGGAATCCACAGCATTTAGAAAGTGTTGTTAGGGCCAAATTGTTTTGCTTTTAGCCTGAAAGAAGGAAATTATAGAAGATGGTCCTCTCGTTGTGTATATTGAATCTAATGGCACTAAAGTTCTCTAAAACTGTTATTGTCTTTCATTTAATATAGTGGAGAGATTCTCATGTGTCATTGTCCATGACATCTTAGCTTTACTCCAGGCGAGGATCACTCTTGAACATTTCCAGGCTCTAGCTATAGGGATTTTGTCTGTATATACAAAATCAAAATTTGTAAGTGTTTTGGAAATACAAACTATTTGCCTGACTTATTAGCCATTGTTGATATATGATATGAAATCATGGCTCCTAAGGAGAATGTTTTTGGCTGTAAAAAGACAGTATTGACTATTTGACAAATAAATTATTTATATTTTATTACTTAGTTCCATCAAAAATAAAACAAAAAAATGCAAAGAAAAAGGGCAATCTCTTTCTTGTGAAAGAGGCCATCTACGTCAAACTGGAACAACCATTAATGAACAGGAATGGGGGCCTTTGACACCCTTTGTCTGTCTTCTACATGCCATGCCATTTTTACATCTCTACCAGTGCACTGATGGTAATTCCACATTCAGCAATTTAAAACAAAAAACATTAACATCTGTGAACCATTCTCGACACCAAGGATGGTATTATATAGCTAGAACAGGATGGTGCCACCATTTTCACACCTTCCTCATGTTGGCAACAACATTTTCCTTTCCATGGTGATTAGATCAATGTCTTGGTGCTACCTGTGTGTTGACATATATGCTAGAGTATTTTCGAACGCTCATTAGATCTGAGATAGTGGTTTGGATAAACTATGAAACATCTTCCACATGGCAGGACAAGTCCAGTTGAATGCGACTAACTAACAATAGATATACCATGACTTGGGTAAATGAGAACTTTCACAGACAACACATCTCAGAGTTTTGCATTTTTCCAGAATTTACTTTATTTTGCAGTTCTTTGCATTCCATCAGGTAGCATCTCAGAGCTTCAAAAAAAGTCAATACTGGAAGACGTTCCTTTACAAGACACTGTGATTGCAGGTAATTTACAGGGAGAAGATAATTATTTAAAGACCAAGGAGCAGATAAATATATTATACCCAACAACCGTCATTGACTGCAAGTCCCACTCTGATTGGGGTCTGAATGAGCAATCAGCAGAAAGTCTTCTTTCAATAATAGAGATTGGGCAATCAAGGCTCTTTAACCATGTATTGTTCCATGAGAATGGTCCTTTTGGGATGTTAGGCAATGCCCTATAGACATTAGGTCATCATCTAATGTGGTCACAAAAGTGCAACCTTGCTTGACAACCCTCTGCTCCCTTCTATAAATTGCTGGAGAGCCATGCATTTCTCACATTTTCTTTGCTCCTTGCCCAAACTTTCCCTATTCTGTAGACCATCCACTACATTTGAGAATCTCTACCTAGGAGAAGGCCCCCCATCCGGAACTCCCTCTCTGCCTTATATTGGTTTCTACTCAACGCATACTCCAGACTGACTCCACATTTTTGGCATAATGGGAAAGAAACTTAATTACTACCTTCACCTACAGCCAAAAAGAATGTATTCTGTTCTTCGCTCATAAAACATCGCTTTTCAGCATATACCAAGAAACACGTATAAGATGATGACCTGTTGGTACAGAACCTCAACCCCCTCAACCTTGGCCAAACTGGTATTGCAATTCACAACTGGGCACACTATTACTTATCTTCTGGGTTTGCCCCAGGACACAGCCTATTTGGCAAACTATTCTCCGACTTATTCATAAGTTCACAGACATTTCCCTGACTGATAATCCAGCGTCCTTTTGAATCTAACACCTATGTCGAAAAAGAAATATCACAAATCCCTACTTAAACACATGGTTAATGCGGCCAGAGTCTGTATCCCCCTCATGTGGAAACAGCAGGCCTTGTTGACTATAGCCCAATGGCTTGCTGGAGTGAATGATATCCAAAACCTAGTACACCTGACCTCTGCCCTCCAAGACAAGTCTGCGCAACACCGAAATGGATGGATGTCTATTGGGATCTCTTTCATTTTTCAGATGAATACCTTCAGTATGTGTAACTTGTCTTTACTCTTGTCCAGCACAGGATGACTATATGAGGCTCTTCCCTAACCACTCCCACAGGGATTCTCCCTCATCCCCTTATACCCTCTTCCCTCCCCACCCCTTTTTTTCCCCCTTCCCTTTCCCCCACCGATTTCTCCTTTAGTTCATTCCCTTCTACCCACATATACAAATTTTCCTTATTTTTGAAAAAGGTGGGCACATTAGTGCTTTCAGAGTGAGTTTCCTAGACATGCCTTGAGTTGCATTTCTGCTACTAGGCCTGTTTTGACCTGCTGAGTCTTCTGCCTACAGAATAGCAGCAGAAGATACTTCTTTGAAAAAAGCTCTGCAACTGCCGCTAGACAGTTCTATCATGAAAAGCTTAATTATCTAGCTTTTTATGTATTATTTTTACCTCTATTTATAGAGGTTATAGGGAATGATGGTTTACTTCTATGTTTCTTTGGCATTTAAGAACCTGTGCTGTTAGCAATGTCCATACTGGCAGAAGAAAGGCATGCTTATTTAACTGTACATATAAATAGTGTAGCGCTCGTATAAAAATAAAATAAATACTAAAAAGTAAGACAAATACATGTGATGCGGCTTTAGAAAAATAAAATAAAAAATGTGACAAAATTAACACAATATAACTCTCCCATTGCAGTGGTGTAAAACATACATAGTGCCAGGCTTGAAATAAATATCTGTGCCCCCCACTGGAAACACGTGTTCACACACTAAATCAATACATTAAATAACATGTGCCTTTTGCTTAAAAAACTTGCACACACACTTAATAAATTAAATAATTACCTAAATATCTAAAAAAAAAACCCTATCATTCAAGGGGCTAAACATAAAATGCTAAAGTGCCAAAAGCAGTGCAAAAAAAAGTGTCCACTCTTCCAAAAATTGATCTAAAAAATGTCCTTTTGGTGATGAATATAATCATGCAATGTGCAGTGATATTTGACAAATTTGTGATTGTGCCAAAAATTCTTCTCCTATTTGCTGCTAGATTGCCTCCTCACCTCCTCCCAGTGACCCCTAGGGGCCAACAGGCTTGCAGGATCACCCTGGATCCCTAAATCATATGGGCCAGCAGCTTCCTTCCTTCAATGGATCTCCTTATGGGGCTCCTATTGCCCCTGATCAGCCAAGATATCTCTAGAGGACAATGGCTCACCAATCTTTCTTCTGATGTTTTCTCCTTCAACCTCTTAGCCAACATGTTTAGATTCTTCCACTGGTTCCACATTCAGAATGTTTTGGCCAAAAAACAGCCTTGCTCCCCGCACAGCTTCGCCAGTCTTCAAATCCTTAACTTTTATTAGAGTGACAGCACGATCTGCATGAACATTGAATAAAACTCCTTGAAAGCACCTATTGGTTGTTGTAATTTTGATAGTCTTTCCAATCAAATTGTTCAGGATGCTGTTACCGGAAGCCAGCATCCTGAACAATTTGATTGGAAAGACAATCAAAATTACAACAACCAATAGGTGCTTTCAAGGAGTTTTATGCAATGTTCATGCAGCTCGTGCTGTCACTCTCATAAAGGTTAAGGATTTGAAGACTGGCGAAGCTGTGCGGGGAGCAAGGCTGTTTTTTGGCCAAAACATTCTGAATGTGGAACCGGCACCGGATCACAGTTATCACTGGGATTTTACCAAGTCACCATTTTCAGTCATATCGTGATTTCACTACCATTAGTTATTCTGGACTATCATTTGCACTGTGTGTTATACTACAATATTAGTGAAGGTGTTTGATACCGCTCCACCATTGCTATAATTTCTTAAGGACATTCTGTGCTGCTTTAATATTTGCTATATATTTGTGCTATTTTTTATACATCATTATTGGCATATTCTTGTATTTCATTTCTAGCACTGCACTACTTACATTCATATTCTATTGAAGGTTTTATGGTTTCCCTTTTTAGTGTATCAGCTGCTGTCGCCTGTTAGCGCTCGCTGAACCACATACAACTATATTTTTATTTATGCTTCTTCATGTAACTTTTGTCCACCTGTACACATATACACTTTTTATATTTTTTTTTTCTATTTTGAGAGTGGAGTACTGGGTTATATCACATACACCTTTTACGTTTGTGTGTTTTTGACATATTTATGCATCTAGCTTACTATTGTTCATACACACATTTGTCCATCTGTACGGATATACAATCTTCTAGCTTTTTTTTTTTTTGAAAGTTGAGTATGGTGTTTTGGCACCTTATTTGTGACTTTATCTTTATTTTTATTTAGGTTATTTCGTATATTGAGCTCACATGATCAATTTTCTCTATAATAATACGGTTTGATATAGTTATGTTGAATGCACAATTGCACTTTGGAATTTTTAATAGACAGCACGCCCATTTTTTTTAAGTAGATGTAATCAAAGGGGCAAGGTATACCTGGTGATGTCATTGACTAATGTCAGCCACTATCTCTGCCCCTTTGCATGGCCAGCAAATGATTGGAGCTGGGTGATATCACTGGTTGCTAAGGATGCATTGTATGAAGGCACCTGCTGCTTCCTTAGCAACAACTGACAGCAGAAGAAGGAAGCTTTCATTTATAGTAGTGGTAGAAAAGCAACTATGCTATACATGACCAGCTTCGGCAGATAGGGCAAAAAGTCTGAACACTCGAACAAGCAATGTTTGGCCCAAAAACGTTTGAAACTTGAAGTTCATGTACTTTTTCTGGCTACAAACTTTAAGCAACATTACGCTCATATGTGAACAGGCATAACAGAAAACCATGGTATTTTGTGTGTTGTGTGTTTTGGACCTTCAAACCCCTTAGAATGGGGACTAATAGTTTAATAGAAATTTGTGGATGTATTTTAACCCTTTCACTGTTGGCCCCGATGACGTCGATTTTTTTAATGAAATTCATAGGGGTTGATTTACTAAAGGCAAATAGACTATGCACTTTGCAAAGTGCAGTTGCACTCTGCAAATACAGTTGCAACAAAGCTTAGTAAATGAGATAAAGATCACTTTGCAAAGAATACCCAATCACGTACAAGGAAAATTACAAAAAAAAGCATTTTTGCTTGCACATGATTGCAATTTAAAGATAAAGTTGATCCAGGGAATATCCGATTGCCTCTCGGGGAATCAGGAAGAATTTTTTTTTTTCCCAGCAGGAGCAAATTGGATCATGCTTTGCTGGGTTTTTTTTTTGCCTTCCTCTGGATCAACTGTGGGTATAGGATTATAACTTTTTTTTTTTTTTTATGGTTGAACTGCATGGACTTTTGTCTTTTTTCAGCCAGACTAACTATATATGTATCTATATAACATGATGTAAGTCAGCAGAGCTTCTGCTCATTTACTAAGCTCTGGAGCAACTCACTTTGCAAAGTGCACACTCTTATTTCCCTTTAGTAAATCAACCCTTTTGACTGCAACGTGTTGCCTATGAAATGGGACCTATATAGGTGATCACTTGATACATTTATGAAAATGATCTTTTGTAATTGTGCATTGTGCATTTTGTAATTGTGCATTTGCTGTTTTTTAACATTTGTGTCTATATATATATATATATATATATATATATATATATATATATTTTTTTTTTTTTTTTTTCTCATTTACACTCACCAGCCACAGGTACATCTGATCAATTGCTTGGTAACACGAATTGCTAATCAGCCAATCACATGGCAGCAACTCAATGCATTTAGGCATGTAGACGTGGTGAAGACGACTTGCTGAAATTCAAAACTGAGCATCAGAATGGAGAAAAAAGGGGATTTAAGTGACTTTGAATGTGGCATGGTTGTTGGTGTTTAACTTTTTTTTTTTTATGGTGGAACTGGATGGACTTTTGTCTTTTTTCAGCCAGACTAATTATGTAGGTAACTATGTAACATGATGGAAGTCAGCAGAGCTTCTGCTCATTTAATAAGCTCTGGAGCAACTGCACTTTGCAAAGTGCACACTCTATTTCCCTTTAGTAAATCAACCCTTTTGACTGCAACTTGTTGCCTATGAAATGGGACCTATATAGGTGATCACTTGATACATTTATGAAAATGATCTTTTGTAATTGTGCATCGTTTTGCTGTTTTTTAACATTTGTGTCTAGTAAGCTTAAAAGAGCAGGGCCCTCAATCCCCTCATGTTTTGCATTGTATTGGTATTGTTCTGTCACACGTTCTGTCCCCCTTTGTAATGTACAGCGCTGAGCAAACTATTGGCGCTTTATAAATACTGTATAATAATATATATATATATATATATATATTCATATACACTCACCAGCCACAGGTACATCTGATCAATTGCTTGGTAACACAAATTGCTAATCAGCCAATCACATGGCAGCAACCCAATGCATTTAGGCATGTAGACATGGTGAAGACGACTTGCTGAAATTCAAAGCTGAGCATCAGAATGGAGAAAAAAGGGGATTTAAGTGACTTTGAATGTGGCATGGTTGTTGGTGTTAGATGGGCTGGTCTGAGTATTTCAAAAACTGCTGATCTACTGGGATTTTCACACACAACCATCTCTAGGGTTTACAGAGAATGGTCCAAAAGAGAACATATCCAGTGAGCTGCAGTGGAGGAAAATGCCTTGTTGATGTCAGAGGTCAGGGAGGAATGGGCAGATTATTTCGAGATGATGGAAAAGCAAAATGGACCAATATCTCTGAGGAATGTTTCCAACACCTTTGTTGGATCTATGCCACGAAGAATGAAGGCAGTTCTAAAGGCAAAAGGGGGTCCAACCCGGTACTAGCAAGGTGTACCTAATAAAGTGGCCGGTGAGTGTATGTGTTGATATAAATTCTTGCTGTCTCTCTTTCTTTTCTGCAGTTATTTCAAGAATATCACTTTAATACCTTAGCAGGGGGTCCATAACAAAATTGATCTGTCCCGAATGGAAAAATACGCTAGGTACGCCACATTATTTATTATTCTATTTAAAACTTTCTTCGACTTATTGATCGCACTGAATGTACCATGAGCTGTAGGTATAATCCATTTTAGCAGGGTTCCTCGGGAACCTGAAAATTATTTCAAGGGTTCCTCAGGCGTTGAGAAAGGCTATCCTAATATAAGAGGGTCATGAGGATATTGCAGATGTGTGGAAAGAGCTTTTCTGTCCCTTATAAATGCATTGCCTATTAAAGCCAGATCTTTAACTTCCAGTTCTCAGCTCAGTAGTGCAATGCTCAGATAAGCAGCAGTCGGAGTTTAGCGTTGAAGCTGAAGGCTGGGAGCAGATACATTAATACAGAGAGATTAGGACGCAGCAGAAGATGCTTGCACACAGGGATGGGGAGGAGGAGAAACGGCACCTAAGCTTCTGGAATGGCAAAGACGGCATTCAGTAGGAAGGACCAGATACAGGGATGAAGGTGTAATAGACAATAGAGGACAGGGCAGGAGATGGAAATGTAAAAGCTCAACTCTGGAAGAAGAGAAAGTCACCAAAACTACAGACAGCTGTAATTATAAGAACTCAAGGAATACTCCTCCTGTTACAAGCTATTGCCTATTCCAACCAGCTAACCACTAAGATGTGAGAGATGCCTTCAGAAGCTTTATTCTGATATATTAACTCATCCAGATATCTGGAATTACTTTTTAGAACCTCTAAAAAAAAAATCCGGGACTGAGGGGTCCAAGAGAAGATCATAACGAGGAATTTAGCAGCAAGGCACAAGAAGACATGAGGAATACACGGAAGGAAATACTATTTGTTCTTTTTTTGGTTTTCCCATGGGATGGTAAGTATTTTCTTTAATTTTACCAAGTCTTGTAGCTGTGTTTTGAATGTGTAGGTACTCCACATTGGTAAGGAAAGGACATTATGCCTCAAATCCTCTCCTGAAAGAAACACAAAGGAATTTGTCACTCGTTACTTACTCTGAAAATGCTCAATGCCTGACTTGTCGGGGTCTCTGGCTTCAGTATTTGAATCTCTCTTCCAAAAACAAGTAGGCAGACCAGGAGATACTTTTCTTATCGGCACACTTGTTCCAGGCTGGTGAGTCAGAAAGTAGTGAATCCTGAGGGTCAAACAACAGCCAGGAAACAGACATTTCAGGAGAAATTGAGGCAGCAGATTACATTGGGTGTACTCATCAGGGGCGGACTGACAACTCATGGGGCCCCCGGGCAATAGGGGATCATGGGGCCCCTTTGTCCTTGCCCAAACTCAAAAAAGGCTATGAAAAAGGTACCAGGGGCATCTCATGGGCCCCCTACTGACCCCGGGCCCTCGGGCAGTGCCCAAGTTTTCAAATGGTCAGTCCGCCCCTGGTACTCATACAACATTTGCATAGTAATTTTCCCAGTGAACATGCATGTACATTCGCTTTGTGCAAGTTTGACCAGAAAACGAAAACTATTGGGCTATTTAGTGTGCTGTTTAGATGTTTTTCATTGTTTCAAATTGGGAAAAAAAACACATTTGGCCTCCAAATGCTACTGAGGGGGTTATTTACTAAAACTGGAGAGTGCAAAATCAGGTGCAGCTCTGCACAGAAACCAATCAGCTTCCAGGTTTTATTGCCAAAGCTTAACTGAATAAGCTGAAGTAAGGTTGGCCATACATTATACAATTTTCTTGAGATTTTTGGTTTAGATTGACCAAAAACCATATAATATGAGGTCAAACCTAAACAACACTTTCAATTGTATCCAATTAAGCAGGCCCTTGCACTACATAGTTGAAGGTAAATCCAAAGGAAATTGGGCAGAAATTGGACAGAAAATTGTATAGTGTATGGTCAGCCCTAGAAAAGCCTTGGCAGCATAGGACAGATGTGGACCCTTGCTCCCTGGGACTAAGGCTGGCCATACATTATTACAAGCCTAAGGCTGGCCATACATTATACAATCTTCTTGAGATTTTTGGTTTAGATTTACCAAAAACCATATAATAGTAGGTCAAACCTAACAACACTTTCAATTGTATCCAATTAGGCAGCCCCTTGCACTACATAGTTGAAGGTAAATCTAAAGGAAATTGGGCAGAAATTGGACAGAAAATTTTATAGTGTATGGCCAGCCTTAGAGAAGCCTTGGCAGCATAGGACAGATGTGGACCCTTGCTCCCTGGGACTAAGGCTGGCCATACATTATACAATCTTCTTGAGATTTTTGGTTTAGATTTACCAAAAACCATATAATAGGAGGTCAAACCTAAACAACACTTTCAATTGTATCCAATTAGACAGCTCTTGCACTACATAGTTAAAGGTAAATCTAACGGATATTGGGCAGAAATTGGACAGAAAATTGTATAGTGTATGGCCAGCCTTAGAAGCTGACTGGCTTCCATGCACAGCTGCATCAGATTCTGTGTGTACTGGTTTTAGTAAATATACCACTGGGTGTCATAGTAAATTCTTCCATGGCACATTTTATAAATATACTTCCATGTTTTTCTTAAGAATAATCTCCTTTAATAGGAGTGATAGAAGCAATATCAAAGGATGAAATATGTAAAAGAAAATATGTACCAAATGTAATACATTGGCTTCATTAAAAATCTGTATGTATTACTATTAAAAATAAATAAATACATTTAAAAAAAAATTATATATATATATATATATATAAAAAATAAATTAAAAAATATATATATATATAAAAAAAAAAATTATATATATATATATAAATAATATATATATATATATATATATATATATATATATATATATATATTTAAAAAATAAATTAAAAAAAAAAAAAAATATATATATATATATATATATATATATATATATATATATGAGTATGTACAATGTAATTTAAAATAAGAAGTAGAAATATTTCCTTTAAACCCTCCATGCTCAGTGGTGTCTATGCCAGAAATTTGCAAAGGTAGCTTTATCATAATTACAATCCGATTTGAATAGGCATTGTTAGTTATGTTATATAGCTAAGCATGTTTCATACGTTTCTTCCCCCAGGCAGCACTCATCTCATATCAGAGCTGCTGAAAAACAATAAGTCTACACTGTTTAATGAATATGTATCTGCCAATCAGAAACAAAAGGAGATGTCTGATTCATAAAGTGAATGATATGATGACTAAGGCTGGCCATACACTATACAATTTTCTGTCCAATTTCTGCCCAATTTCCTTTAGATTTGTCTTAAACTATGTAGTACAAGATCTTGCCTAATTGGATACAATTGAAAGTGTTGTTAGGTTTGACTCCATATTATATGGTTTTTGTAAATCTAAACCAAAAATCTCAAGAAAATTGTATAATATAATTGTATAATATACAATTTTCTGTCCAATTTCTGCCCAATTTCCTTTAGAGTTATCTTAAACTATGTAGTACAAGAGCCTGCCTAATTGGATACAATTGAAAGTGTTGTTTAGGTTTGATCTCCTATTATATGGTTTTTGGTAAGTCTAAGGCAATTTTCCAAAGAAAATTGTATAATGTATGGTCAGACTTAATTCCTTCTTCTTTCCACACAGCTCAGTTGTAGCTATGCCACAAAATTAGGTCATACTTCAATAAAATGTGAACAATTGGAAAAATGTATATTTTTACAAATATGAATTCCCCATAGATATGTAGAAAAAAATACCTATGGCTTCCAGACACCAGTGACAGCTCTGAGCTCGTTTTGAGTCCTCATGCACACTGAACGTTTTTACAGCGGCTGTTTTTGGCTTTTGACATTTGTTTCTACAGCCAGTAAACTCCCCCAGCATGTTATCCTATGTGTCCATGCACACATAGACTGGAATCAACGTTTTTTGACAGGGACTGGAATAAAACCCAGGATTAGTGGGTTTCTAAAGGAGTTTTTTAGCTGTAAAAATGCTCTAATGCTGGAAAATGAGGCAAAACGCAGTAAAACGCTGCAAACCAGCGTTTGTGGACATTGTTTTGACCAAAAAAATGCAAACGTGGAAAAAGGCAGCTAAATGTGGCAATACACCGCTAAATGCTAATGCAGAAATGCTAAAAAAAAGCTGAAAAACTCACGTTTTTTAACATGACTTTACACAGCTAATGCTATCAAACGTCCCATGTGTATGGAGACTCATATGTCAACCAGACTAATCTTGGCTACTAAGGACTCAATTATAGAGATTATACGCACAGCTAAATCAATTAAAATTGTGATTTCCTGCCAGTCAAAGCTCCAGCTCAACTCAAGGTTTAATTACTTTTTTGTAATTGCCTACTTTTTCAACAAAGTTTCCAAAACGTTTCTTTAAGCACTGCACACTCACTCCATGCTTCAGTGTTGCTCTCCCCCTACCATTTGAATGAATAGATAAATAGTGCTGCGCTACTCACTAAACCTAACCAGAAAGCAAAAAGTAAACACCCGACAGAGCCCCTTACTAAGGTGATATAAGTACATACCTAGGGAATAACCAAACACACAAGTAAATGAAAATATCCAAACAGACTAGATGCCCTGCTGGGCAATACAAAATATGAAGTAATCAATAAGTGAAGCTTCAACATATGTGCAAATGGACAATCTGAGTGATATGTATCAAGACATAAATAATAATAATAATAATAATGAGGGGGGGAGAGAGTGGAGAGAAAGAGAAGAGAGAGAGAGAGAGGGGAGAGAGGGGGGGGAGACAGAAATAGAGAGAGGGGGGGGGAGAGAAGAGAAAGAGACAGAGAGAGAAAGGGGGGGTAAGAGATGAAGAGAAGAGAAAGAGTGAAACAGAGAGAGGGGGGAGGAGGAGAGAGAGTGAGGAGAGAGGGAGAGAGAAAGAAAGAGAGAGAGAGAAGAGAAAATAAAATAAAAGAGAGAGTGAGTAGAGAGAGAAAGAAAGTGGAGAGAGAGAGAGAGAGAGGGAGAGAAGAAGGGGGGGGGGCGAGAAGAGAGAGAGGCAGAAAGAGAGAGAAAGAGAGAGAGAGAAGAAGAATGAGAGAGGGGAGAAAAGAGAGAGAGAAGGGGAGAGAGGGGGAGAGAGAAAGAGAGGAGAGAGAGAAGGAAGAGAAGAGAGAGAGAGGGGGGGGGGGAAAAGAGAGAGAGGGAGGGGGAGAGAGAGAGAGAGAGAGAGAGGAGAGAGAGAGAGAGAGAGAGAGAGAGAGAGAGAGAGAGAGAGAGCACGATGGGGGGAGAGGGAGAGAGAGAGGGGGGAGAGAGAGGAGAGAGAGATGAAGAGAAGAGAGGTAAGGGGGGGGGGGTATGGGGTATAAGAGAGTGAGGAGATGAGAGGGAAGAGAGAAAGAGGAGGAGAGAGAGAGAGAGGGGAGAAAAAAATAAAATAAAAGAGAGAGTGAGCAGAGAGAGGGAAGAAGAGAGAAAGAGAGAGGACAGAGAGAAGAGAACGAGAGAGAGAGAGAGGAGAAAGAGGAGAGTGAGAGAAGAGAGAGAAGAAGAAGGAGAGGAGAGAGAATAGAGGGGAGAGAGAGAGAGAGGGGAGAGGGAGGAGAGAGAGGAGAGAGGGGGGAGGGGAGAAGACAGTGAGGCGAGAGGAGAGAGTGAGAGAAAGAGAGAGAGAAAAGAGAGAGAGAGAGGAGCGAGAGAGAGGGAGAGAAAGAGAGAGAAGAGAGGAGGAGAGAGGAGAATAAGAGAGAGAGAGAACAGAGAGGGGGGGGAGAGAGGGGGGAGAGAGAGGATGGAGGGGGGGGGAGATGCGAGGGGGGTTTTGTCTGGAGAGATGAGAGATGAGAGAGAAGAGAAAGAGAGAGAGGGGGGAGAGAGAAAATAAAAAGTCAATGTTGAATAATAAACACCCGGCTGAACCCTCAACCGAGTGACAGTCTGTGAATAA